CAATGAGGGCATTTCTGGGGAGTGCTTGCCTTCCCCAGGCACCTAATACATGAAGGGTGCCTGTCTGACGCTGGCATCGGCTTGTGACAACTGTTGCAATTTTTTAAGCCTAATGAGCCTGGCACGACAGAAATCTTTTGCAGCGGTTAACTGCAGCCTACATCCGCTACTTAAAAAAAAAAAAAAAAGGAACTAGTAACTAACTAATCAGAAAGAGATCATGAAACTAACCAACCAACAAGAATGCTAACTAATTAATCTTGACTTAATCTACTAAGTAAACTCTGAGGAGAGATGCCAGCTCTGTCTGCGACCGAGGGTGGTAACGAAGGAACTGAGGAGGGTCGGGACGCATGCGTGCAATGCAGGGCGCGAATAGCAAGAGGCACCTAGTCTGCATGCACAGCCCAATTGGCTACCTCTATAAAAACTCCAATCTACGGCACTGGGACAATCTAGCACTTACAGCTTCCATGGGAACATTACTCAAAGAACCGCCTTTCTTCCCTGTCTTCACTCCCCTATGTCACCCCTATCAACATCTCTGCCTCGATATCTTCACTCTCTAAAATCTTCCATAATCCATCCACTTTCTAAAAACCCTCCCTGGACTCCAGTATTATACCTACCACATCAGAAATTATTCTTAAAGAAAACATTAGGAGAATATTTTTCCATCTTAACGGCTTTCCCTGGCCCTATCCCTGTAGATAAATCAGAGTTTCTTCACTGCAGTTGGGGAAACAAGCAGAGAGGGGAAGTCAGGGTATGTCTACACTACCCTCCTAGTTCGAACTAGGAGGGTAGTGTAGACATACCCAGAATGATTAAAGGTCTCGAGAACATGACCTATGATGGAAGACTGAAAGAATTGGGCTTGTTTAGTTTGGAAAGGAGAAGACTGAGATGAGACATGATAGCGGTTTTCAGGTATCTAAAAGGGTCTCATAAGGAAGAGGGAGAAAAATTGTTCTCCTTGGCCTCTGAAGATAGGACAAGAAGCAATGGGCTTAAACTGCAGCAAGGGAGGTTTAGGTCGGACATTCGAAAAACTTCCTAACTGTCAGGATGGTTACAGACTAGAAAAAGCTGCCTAGGGAGGTTGTGGAATCTCCATCTCTGAAGATAAAATTTAAGAGGCTAGATAGACTTCTGTCAGAGATGGTCTAGACGGTGCTGGATGTGCTATGAGGGAAGGGGACTGGACTTGATGACCTCTCGAGGTCCCTTCCAGTTCTAATGTTCTATGATTCTATCATTTTACCTGTGGCCAAGAGGGCAAACTGGGTAGACTCTACGACGAGAAAAGAGGTGTCCCAACTACTACTCAGACTGTTTTCTCTGAGTGTTTTTTGAACATTTTGTCAGGAAGGATAAGGAGACAGGTAAGACTGTGAGATAGGGGAAAGCATGAATTTTTCAATAGTGAAAAATAAGTGATTAACCAGGACATTGCCATTGTTAAACTACGTGTGGTTTGAAGGACAAAAGGGATGGTGCTCTTGTTACTCTTGCATGGAATCCCATTGACTTCAATGGATCTCTCTGCAAGGAAAATATGTGTGACTGTTTATGTAATCATGCTCTGAGTAATAAAAAACAATATTGTACAACAACTGTACATTTATATATTTTACTATACAACACAGAACTTTTATTTTGGAAGCAACTGACTAGAACAATCAGAAAACTACATGGAGTTTAGCAAGAAGATTGAATTTATAGTTCCAGACACAACTGAACAAAAGTAAACTATTTTCAAAATGAACTGAAATGTATAATATGGTTGGATCATCAGCCTTGCTAAAACACCAGTGTGTTGCTGGAAGAGGGCTGTGACATTAAAGTTGCTCTAAATTAACCAAAGAGGATTCTTTGTATCCTATCATTAAGCCAATCTCTCTTGACCCATTCCTAATATAAAGTGTGTGTCAGGTGCAGCTATGTGTGGGAGAGGATATTCTAGAAGTGGAAGGGGGCAGACATGGAGCATATGTTCAGCTGATCCCCGGTTGGGAGAATGACTCCTATGAGATAGTTCTAGCTGGTGTAGGTTAGAGTGATCAACTGCTGTGTCTGTTCCAACTTCCAGGTTGGTTTGGCCCCTGCTAACCCAGAATCAGGGAGACGGGAGTTGATGCATTGTATTATCTGAAAGACTGTATTGATCTGTCTCTTCGCAAAACAATATACACTTTATATCCTTTACACAGAAGCTTGTAAGCTGTTTGCTTCTTAAATGTATATTGTCTGTCTTGTTTTGAAATTCAAAGAGGATGTGAGTTACACTGACTTTGAATTTCCTAGCTTGTTTTTAAGTTTCATTACCTGAGTGCTATTTAACTTTAGCTTTTTATAGACAATAGTAATGGAGGAAAAAATATTAAACTTCTTTTCACTCATTCTACTTCCTGTAATATTGCTCCTGGACCTGATCCTGCACTCCACTCAGGACTAAATCGAGAATTGCCTCTCCCCTTGTGGGTTCCTGCACTAGCTGCTCCAAGAAGCAGTCATTTAAGCCATTGAGAAATTTTATCTCCGCTTCTCTTCCTGAGGTGACATGTATCCAGTCAATATGGGGGTAATTAAAATCCCCCATTATTATAGAGTTCTTTATTTTGGTAGCCTCTCTAATCTCCCTCAGCATTTCAATGTCAGTATCGCTGTCCTGGTCAGGTGGTCGGTAATATATCCCTACTGCTAATTTCTTATTATTGGAGCATGGAATTACTATCCATAGCAATTCTATTGAACATGTTGATTCACTTAATATTTTTATTTCATTTGATTCTACATTATCTTTCACATACTGTGCCACTCCGCCACCCACCCGGTCTGCTCGATCCTTTCTATATATTTTATATCCCGGTATGATTGTGTCCCACAGATTTTCCTCATTGCACCAGGTTTCAGTGATGCCTATTATGTCAATCTCCTCATTTAATACGAGGTACTCTAGTTCACCCATCTTATTAGTCAGACTCCTAGCATTTGTGTACATGCACTTTAGAAATTTGCCACTGGTTATAAGACCTAGATTAAAAAGCAGATTTTCACTTAACATTTTAATATTTCTAACTTCACATGTAAGAAAGATATATGCACCCAAATAGAATATACACATTCAAGGGATCACAAGCACTTGAATGACAGGTTATTTGCCCCATTTTGCATAAAGCATATTTGCGTTATGCATATTCATATTCAAAAGCATATTTCCATTACAATATGGCATAGCATCACAGATATAATCTGAGTTTCATCTTATAGTCAGTGCATTCATTTTACCAATCCCCCCTCTCCCTCTCCTCCACACACACACACACACACACACACACACACACACACACACACACTCACTCTTCTCAACAGAAGGCTTCCTTTCATACTTTACATGTGAGAAGAACTTTGGCCTTCTACTTGGATAGGGCCAAAAAATTCCAAAGTAAGAAGACTTCTAGGACTCCTTACTTCCAGGGGTCTTGGGGTATGATTTTTCATATTATGATGTGTCTAAAATTCAATGGGGAATTCTAGGGTTCACTGTACAAAGTCACAATCAACATCTATTTCATTATTTACAGATGTTCCGGTATCTGAGATTTTCAGAACCTCTTTGTTGTCTTCAGTATATAGCTTCTCCAAACAATAGGCCTTGAGTCATCCCTTTAGAGCTGAGGCAGTATTCAGCAACATGGATTTGTCTTTAGTGCTGGACCTGACTCTGAAGCTCTTTCCTTTCTGTGGGCATACTACCCCGGAGTCACTGGAAGTGGAGCACCCATAGGGACACTTCTCAAAGAAGGAGTGTAGTGTAGAAGACGGAGTGCAATTCTTTGGGTTGTATCCCCTTAAAGATGTTCCACTTCCTGCCCTGCTTCCTCTGTTTTAGGGTTTCCTTTGTGAGACTTTGCAGTAGAGAAAGAACTGAGTGCAATTTATCTGTGCAACTCTGGATAGTCATTGTGTGAGCACAAGGGTGTGGATCCTTGCTTGGATCGAATGGACACCGCTAGCGAAAATCTCCAGTAGAAAGTGCGTGGAGTGCACTTGCATGTGAAGTGGAATGACGGGGAGAGGGGAGGGACGGGAATATATCTTAGAAAACTACAGTTGCTGCACAAAGTGAATAATCTCTTCTTTTTACATAGTTTCTTACTCTTCCACAGGTTTTGTGTGCCAGGATCCAGGCCAGCGGACAAGCCGGGTAGGCCATCATTCGTCTGAGTCAGCCAGAAGAAATCCCTTTCAGAAGACTCAGGTAAGCAAGTTCAGCAACCCAGGACTTCCTGCTGCAACTCTGAGAAGAACAGCCGGATAGCAGTTTTAATCAGTTTTGCCCAAAGGGGTGAGAGCCTGTAAATGACTGTAGTGAGACCCCTGGAATCCTAGCAAATTGTAGAAGAGAAGGCTTTTATGCTGCAACTCTACTATAAGGGTATGTGTAGACTACATGCCTCTGCCGAAAGAGGCATGTAAATTAGACATACCAACATAGCCAATGAAGCGGGGATTTAAATATCCCCCGCTTCATTAGAATAAAAATGGCAGCCACGTTGTGCTGACTCAGCTGTTTGTTGGCACAAAATGGCAGTCAAGACAGGGATCGGTCACCAAGGAAAGCCTTTGTTGACCGATTCTATAAACCTCGATCCCTGTCCTGACTGCTGCTTTGTGCCGACAAACAGCTGAGTCAGCACAACGTGGCTGCCATTTTTATTCTAATGAAGCGGGGGATATTTAAATCCCCGCTTCATTGGCTATGTTGGTATGTCTAATTTACATGCCTCTTTCGGCAGAGGCATGTAGTCTACACATACCCTTATAGTAGAGTTGCAGCATAAAAGCCTTCTCTTCTACAATTTGCTAGGATTCCAGGGGTCTCACTACAGTCATTTACAGGCTCTCACCCCTTTGGGCAAAACTGATTAAAACTGCTATCCGGCTGTTCTTCTCAGAGTTGCAGCAGGAAGTCCTGGGTTGCTGAACTTGCTTACCTGAGTCTTCTGAAAGGGATTTCTTCTGGCTGACTCAGACGAATGATGGCCTACCCGGCTTGTCCGCTGGCCTGGATCCTGGCACACAAAACCTGTGGAAGAGTAAGAAACTATGTAAAAAGAAGAGATTATTCACTTTGTGCAGCAACTGTAGTTTTCTAAGATATATTCCCGTCCCTCCCCTCTCCCCGTCATTCCACTTCACATGCAAGTGCACTCCACGCACTTTCTACTGGAGATTTTCGCTAGCGGTGTCCATTCGATCCAAGCAAGGATCCACACCCTTGTGCTCACACAATGACTATCCAGAGTTGCACAGATAAATTGCACTCAGTTCTTTCTCTACTGCAAAGTCTCACAAAGGAAACCCTAAAACAGAGGAAGCAGGGCAGGAAGTGGAACATCTTTAAGGGGATACAACCCAAAGAATTGCACTCCGTCTTCTACACTACACTCCTTCTTTGAGAAGTGTCCCTATGGGTGCTCCACTTCCAGTGACTCCGGGGTAGTATGCCCACAGAAAGGAAAGAGCTTCAGAGTCAGGTCCAGCACTAAAGACAAATCCATGTTGCTGAATACTGCCTCAGCTCTAAAGGGATGACTCAAGGCCTATTGTTTGGAGAAGCTATATACTGAAGACAACAAAGAGGTTCTGAAAATCTCAGATACCGGAACATCTGTAAATAATGAAATAGATGTTGATTGTGACTTTGTACAGTGAACCCTAGAATTCCCCATTGAATTTTAGACACATCATAATATGAAAAATCATACCCCAAGACCCCTGGAAGTAAGGAGTCCTAGAAGTCTTCTTACTTTGGAATTTTTTGGCCCTATCCAAGTAGAAGGCCAAAGTTCTTCTCACATGTAAAGTATGAAAGGAAGCCTTCTGTTGAGAAGAGTGAGTGTGTGTGTGTGTGTGTGTGTGTGTGTGTGTGTGTGGAGGAGAGGGAGAGGGGGGATTGGTAAAATGAATGCACTGACTATAAGATGAAACTCAGATTATATCTGTGATGCTATGCCATATTGTAATGGAAATATGCTTTTGAATATGAATATGCATAACGCAAATATGCTTTATGCAAAATGGGGCAAATAACCTGTCATTCAAGTGCTTGTGATCCCTTGAATGTGTATATTCTATTTGGGTGCATATATCTTTCTTACATGTGAAGTTAGAAATATTAAAATGTTAAGTGAAAATCTGCTTTTTAATCTAGGTCTTCTAGTGAAAGCCATTAGTAATACTTAAATAACTGAATGGCCTGGTGATCAAGGCAATGATCTGTAAACGATTTTGTCTTTTTCCTGTAAGCCTTAGCCGTGGTGGGTCCCACAAAGACAGATGACCATGCCACTTGTTGCTCCAACTCCATCTTGAATTTGTTTTTTTCCATTGAGATGGGGATTATGGAACAAAGACTTCTATTTAAGGAATGGATAGCAAACTGGGTGGCGTGCCCCCCTAGGGGGGTTGAAGAAATTCCAGGAGGGGCACAAGGCATCCCAGTTGTCCCCCCCGTCAATCTCCCCCCCCCCAAGTTTTGCTGCTATTTTTGTTTTTCGGCCCCAGTCAGTTTCTTTTTTTTGCTCAACAAGTTTTGCTGAGGGATGGGGGAGGGGGGGAGGCGTAAGGGTTTCTCAAAAATCAAAAAAGAGGCGTGATGCTGAAAAGTTTGGGAACCAATGAACTAGGGTGAGAAATATGATTAGTTACAACTTCTCTTAGGCTACGTCTACACTGGCCCCTTTTCCGAAAGGGGCATGCTAATTTTCAACTTCAGAATAGGGAAATCCGCAGGGGATTTAAATATCCCCCGCGGAATTTAAATAAAGATGTCCGCCGCTTTTTTCCGGCTTGGGGAAAAGCCGGAAAAAAGCGTCTAGACTGGCCCGATCCTCCGGAATAAAGCCCTATTCCGGAGGATCTCTTATTCCTACTTTGAAGAAGGAATAAGAAATCCTCCAGAATAGGGCTTTATTCCGGAGGATCGGGCCAGTCTAGACGCTTTTTTCCGGCTTTTCCCCAAGCCGGAAAAAAGCGGCGGACATCTTTATTTAAATCCCGCGGGGGATATTTAAATCCCCTGCGGATTTCCCTATTCTGAAGTTGAAAATTAGCATGCCCCTTTCGGAAAAGGGGCCAGTGTAGACGTAGCCTTAATGTATTAGGCTTAGCTGGCATGTTTTATTTTTGCTCAGTAACATACTTTCATCTGACCAGAGTTATGAGTAGGGGATATGAAAACTTGAAATAAATAGGAGAGGGGAAGGAGAGGGGGGAGAAAAAGAAAAAAAGAAGAGGGGTGAGAGACAGAGCATCATTAAGTATCTGGAGAATGGGTACTTATCTACCTTGATCTGCTTAGGTTTGAGTACACATTCTCCAGATATTTAATGATGCTCTCTCTCACACTCCCCTTCCTTTTCTTTTTTTTCCTCCCCCCTCTCCTTCCCCTCTCCTATTTATTTTGAGTTTTCGTATCCCCTACTCATAATTCCGCACATCTGAAGTGGGCTGTGCCCACAAAACCTCATCATACCATCTACATGTTTTGTTAGTCTATAAAGTGCTACCAGACCATTTGTTGTTTTTTTTCTGTAAGGGTGTGTCTAGATTACAGGGTTTTGCCGACAAAACTATACCTTGTTCTGTACGTTGACAGAACTCAGCAGTTTTGTCAACGGCTATAAACCTCATTCTATGAGGAATAACGCTCTAGCACTAGCAAAATGGCTCGAGTATAATTATGCAATTAACGGCAAGCTTCCATTAGCAACTGTTGGTCCATGGAAAGGTTTACATTGATCCATGTGGGCCACTGGCCAAAAAGTTTGAGAACCACTGTGTTAGGGGGAGGCGAGATCACTGTGTTGATGGAGGATGGGCAAGCGGGGCTGGTGGCAGCATAGCAGGGCCAGGGGAATGGTGTTCCCCAGCCGCAAGGAGCAGCTCAGGCCTGGCGCTACTGGCCAGAAGCCTTGCCTGCACTCACCCGGCACTGGCCTTGCCAAGCAGGTAGAATAGCAGCAGGCAAAGGCGGCTGAGGAAGTGGGGGGCCATGGCAGCTGCACTGCCTGCCATGATCCCAGAAGGTAATTTCTATAAAACCTTTATTACTGTATACATTTTTAGTATGTTATAACAAAATCATTTTACCAATCATTGTTTCCATTCAAATTTTTTATTAACCTCTCTTATGCACACTTATTGCATGACTATTTTGAACACCTTTATATATTAAAAAAAATTGCAGTCCACATTTACAAAAAAAGCAGCCCCACCCCCACAGACATGCCTGCGTATGGGCCTGTTTTTGTACTTAATAAAAAACTTTTATTTATCAAACCCAGTGTAAATAATTGTTATCTGAGGGGGAGCCACAGCTGTGCATAGCTCTCCCTTCATTGATAAAGAGAGCGAACTTATGAGCTTTCTCTGTATAAAACTTTTACACAGAGTAATACAGATTTGGGGTTTTCATCTTATTTGAGGCTGTGGTCCTCGGTGCTGACAAGTCGCTGTAACTGAGCCCTACCACAGCTGAGTTACCAGCATCTGTGATACTCTGCTGAGGCTCTGTTACTCCACTCTGTGCCTTTGCTGGGGGAGACCAGAGCATCTTGCCCAGCAGGAGAGGGTGATGGGGGCCCCAGAGGGCAGGTAAGCAGGCTTAGTGATACCATCAGCCCAACAGGTGACAATTTCAAAGGGATCTCTATGACCCAAGCTGTCTCAATACCTTAGGTAGGAATTTAGGATGTGAGCATAAGGAAACCTTGTTTTTAAAAAATGAACAAAAGGATGGCATATTGGGTGAATGAACACTGAGAACACTTTTACTGGGGAATGAAAAGCTGTTATGACAGCCAAGAGCCCCTTGACCAATCTGGTTGATAATCCTGTTTTTCTTCTGTTCCAGCAGGTAATCTAATATAACCAAGAATGAGGAAGATGTAGGTGCAAGTCACTGAAGTTCATACCAAGAGATAAATCTTTTCCATATTTGAAAGTAAGTATATTGGGATATTCTTTACTACTTTTTAATAACATCTGTGATACTTCTACAGAAAAGGCAGTCTCTAGCCCCAAGAAGCCAATGAGGAGATATGCCCTGAAGCAGAACATTCCTAGGCTGGGATTAAGCAATTGACCCATATATTAGGAGAGGAATTAAGGGATAATCAACAGTTTAATCACAGGACAAAGGGACAAGTGTAACAGCTAAGGATGCCAAGTGTGTTCCAACCATGTTTGGTATCCAAGAATAATCTGGCTTTGTCCTGTCTGATTCTATAAATCATTCTCAGTATTAGAGACATTGGGGGAAATATGTAGAACAGACTTTCTGTCCATGGTAGGAAGGAAGTGTGCCACAGAGAATGGTGCCTACACTGCATCTTGAATGGAATACTGTTTAAAGAGGAAGCAAAAAAGTCTCTCACCTGGCAGGGAACTGAAACTATGTTTGGTAACTAGACTGCTCTGAGCCACAGCTTGAAGAATTAAGGCACAACCTTGCATAATCTTTTATAAAAATAAAGCTACCATGTGACCCACAAAACTGGAGGCAGTTTCTGAGGTCTGAAGGTGTTCAGACAGTCATGGCAAGATCTAACAACATTATGAATGTTTCCATGTGAAGGAAGCCCTTCAGTGAATTGAAGGATCCCCTATGAACTCTCTTTTCTATACTAAGGTCAATATGAACTATTTTTACATTGAGTTGAAGACCCCGTTTTGGGAACAGCAAAAGGTCACACTGCACAGCTAATTGCACTGCTTTGCGTGACCAATTCTTGAATGACCAGCCATGAAGGTACAGGAATACTACAACTGCCTCTTGACAAAGGTAAGTGATCACTGCAAATACTTTTGAAACACCTACTACTTAAAATGAGCCTGGCATAAATTAAAGACACAGGTATCTTCTGTGAGATGGATATATCACTTTATGGAAATAAGTGTCTATATGTCAAGTGCTGAAAATAATCCCATGAATTTAATGAAGCAATTATAGCTGTCAGAGTTACCATCCTGAATTTCTGAGACTTTACAAATTTATTTAGTAGCCTTAAATCTAAAATCAGT